GTGTAAACATGCACTACTCAGCATACTAAGGATGCAGGTGCTGACATTTGTTTGCCTCACCTTTCAGGGTGGTATTATAATCCCATAGACAAGGAGAAACAAAGAAGTCTGGGTTGTACTGAAGACACACAAAGGCCTAAGAGGCATGAGCAATTGATCATCCATCTACTACGTTAATTCCAGGACTTGAAGTTACAGAAGTAAAATCTGGTGGACTCCTTTGGTCCCAGCTGTTTCAGACGCAGATGTCTATTATACTTTAAGACAGTGGTTCTCAACCTTCCTAATGCCAGGACCCTTTAATACTGTTCCTCATGTTTTGGTGACCCTCAACCATAAAATTACTTTCGTTGCTACTTCATAACTGTAATTTTGCTACTGTTATGAATCATAATGTAAATATCTGATATGCAGGATGTATCTAGGTGACCCCAATGAAAGGCTCATTCAACCCCCAAAGGGGTCGCGACCCACAGGTTGAGAACCGCTTCTTTAAGATATTGATGAATAAGTTATAACCTTATGTGCTGGGAATTTCCTTAGGACTTCCAATAGGGCGACAGAAATTGAATTTGGTCGAAATCTAACTGTCCAATTCAGCCCACCTATGATGGGCTTTTCTCCATGGACAAATACTCTGCTACAAAAGCATTTATCTTCTCCATATACCATTCCCTCCTATACTTTAGGAAAGAATTGGGTTGACCAAACAGCAACCCATTACCACCACCATGAACACACACACACACACACACACACACTCACACTTTTCTTCACATGGAAAATTCTTAATTATGCTTAAATGCTCAGACCAAATATCCTTTTCTAAGTTTCCTAGAACCAGGGCTCCCATAACACTCTGCTCATAAACCTATTTTAAAGTTAATACACTATATTTTAAATCATGCATTTATATTCAGGTTCCTCAACTAATCAATGAATTCATCAAGGCTGGGGATTGAACTTTATCTTTTTTTAAAAAAATATATTTTATTTTTTTAAGATATATTTTATTGATTTTTCAGAGAGAGGAAGAGAGAGGGATAGAGAGTTAGAAACATTGATCAGCTGCCTCCTCCACACCTCCTACTGGGGATGTGCCTGCAACCAAGGTACATGCCCTTGGCTGGAATCGAAACTGGGACCTTTCAGTCCGCAGGCCGACGCTCTATCCACTGAGCCAAAGCGGTCAGGGCTGAACTTTATCTTTATCCACAAGCCTCACAGTATACTCGGACACAGTAAATGCTTAATAAATACTGCATATTTAAAAATACCTCATGAAACACCTGTCAATATATATAGGAACATTGTATTTTGTGACCAACCATTAAATTGTTGAGACTAAACATTAATCAATTTTTTTCAAAGAGGATGCACCTCAAAGTGTTGACTTGGGTTACCACCCAAGGGAATAGTATTGGTGTCAGAGTAAGCTCTGTATTTCACGTTGAACAATTCAGAACTTAGACTTTCTATTTTGTAATAAAAAATACAATAAAGCTGGAGGCTACAACTGCCAAATTTTAATGTTAGGATGAGTCCCAGGAGAACATGATATATTCCCCATGTCTGGGAACTTTTCTCTTACAAAAGACAGATAATGATAAAGAAATACCACATTAACTATGAGACCAGGTGCAACATTGGATTGAAAAGTATGCTCATGTGTTATTGTCACAATCCCCCTTTACTATGGGTGTCAGAAGTGTATAGCATATGTAAATGGCAACATCATCAGTAAAGGAATCCTACCTAATAAAGAGGGGATATGCAAATTGACCATCACTCCTCCACAAAGATGGCGGTGCCCATACCCACAAGATGGCGGCACTCAGTCCTCTCATCCCTGCCAGAGTCCCCCAGTCCTGGGGGGCGGCTGCTGAGAGTGGGCAGTGTGAGTGGTTTGGCGTAATGCTTGCTTCATTGCTGCAGTGATGAGGTAAAGGTTACACCCTGGCTGTGGAGGGCCTCTGAGCAGTGGGCACAGAGTGGCCAGAGCAGAATGCTTGCCTCGTCACTCTGGTGATGAGGCAAGCATTCTGGCCCTGTTGTGGAGGGCCAACTGACAGAGCAGACTGGAACTGATTCAAAATAGCACCTGCTCCATTGGCCTTCACCCCAGTACTAAGTCTGGAGAACTGTCTTCTAAGTAAAGTAGATCCCTTACATGACCAATTATGACAGAAGGCTCGACCAGACCGGAAGTCAGTGCTGGGCCCAGCACTGACTGAGGCCCCGGCGGGTACCCTGACGCAGCACTGACTGCCTAGGGTCTGCGAGTCAGGCCCGGAGAGAGACCTGCACAGAGAGAGGCAGGGTCTGATCCATAGCTTCTGTGGCAGCCATTGATCAGACCTTGCCTTCATTTCTCTCCCACCATGGCCAACAGCCGTGATTCCATTTCTCTCCAGGCCTCCACTGGAGCTGCCAACCAGTCCCGCCTTTCTGACCAGGCCCTGTTGATAGGCCCAGAGATGCTGACTGGCATAGAAACTGACCAATCAGAACCAAATCTGGGTGAATGTGAGGAGCCAATGGCTGCCTAGGAGGTGGAGCTTTTGACGCTGACTGGCACAGAAACTGACCAATTAGAACCAAATTGGCCATCAGAGGAGAGCAGTTGGGGATGAGATCAGGCCTGCGGGGGAGGGCAGTTAGGGGCGATCAGGCAGGCAGAGGCAGTTAGGGGTGATCAGGCCAGCAGGGGAGAGCAGTTAGGGGTGAGATCTGAGGCAGAGGCAATTAGGGGAGATCAGGTAGGCAGGCAAGCCATTAAGGGCAAGCAGGCAGGAAGGTGAGTGGTTAGGAGCCAGCGATACCAGATTGTGAGAGGGGTGGTGTCCGACTGCTGGTGTCCGGCCGTTGGACATTTCTCAAGGGGTCCCTGATTTGAGTGGTTGCAGTCTGGCCTGAGCGAACCCCCGCCACCCACCCTCCCCCCTGCATGAATTTTGTGCACTGGGCCTCTAGTCTTTAAAATAAGTGAGCAGCTATTACACAACCATCAGTCTCTTCTCTCAAACGTATGCCACATGCACTGACATACTCCATTTATGCGTCAAATATTTGAACAGGGTGCCTGCCTTAAATTTTCAAAGCTCATTCTGTTCTTCAAATCTTAGAATTATGGCTTCTTATAAAAAAATAATGAAAATATTTGTCAGAGCTACATAAATAATGTGAAATAGATTTTTAAAAATCAGGTCCACTATACATGATTGAGCCAAAGTCCTTGAAAGCAGGGGTAGGTGGGTGGGAGGAAAGAGATTAAGAATTTCTATGCACATATGCATAACCATGGACACAGACAATAGTGTGGTGAAGGCCTGGGGTGAGGGGCAGGTGTGGGCCAGAAGGGGTCAAATGGGGGAAAGGGGGACATCTGTAATACTTTCAACAATAAAAAAATATTTTTAAAGAACAAACATATATTGACATCAGGGCAACCAGCTGAGTCTGAAAGATCGCGTCTTCGGAAACACACATCCAAAGCAGAATTTTATGACATGAAACAAGATTACTGACCATTTCATCTAAAATGGATTGAACCAGAAGGAAAGGCAGAAGCAATATGCTAAAGTAGTATTGTGATTGGGTTGTTTTAGCAGCTTAGGCCATGCACATTATTTACTGTAAACCACTCTGGTCCAGGGAATCAGAGAATGAATATTCTAGGCAATATGCTGCAGATTGCAGCATTGAGAGGCACTTCACGTCTGTAATATGAAGATGATGATCATCCTTTGTGCGTTACCAGGGACGGAACTTGAGGACTGCAACCAAGGATTTCTTGCACTCACTTGAAGAGGGAAATAACAACTTTATCTACAAATACCGCTATTGCCCCAAGTCTCTACTAAAATAGGTTGATGGTCTGGACCACTGAGTTAGCAAAAATGTAAATAAAGGTCACAACTTTCCTAACATAATGAGAACTCTGCCTCCCTCATTTAGTGTCTAAAGCATATGGCTTTCACACTAGCCAGCAGCATGGAAGAGCTGCACTATGGGTAGTTGTTTGAGTTTAATCGTGAGTTGTCTGAGAGCCAGCACCTGGCAA